AATAACCCTGGCTGTATCTAAAATCATTATGTATTATATTTTAATTAAGCCAGACCCAACTTTATCTCAGGTGGGTAAAAAAAGCAAAGGACAAAATAGTTAAAGTCTCTTAACCCCGTAAACCTTGAAACACGAAATAGTTACCAGTAATTTTTTTTTTTTAAATCTTCTGACAAAATCTTCTAAACAATATAAAGTTAGGATGCAAACCTCTAAGTGAAGTTTGGCAAAAGTTAATTAAAAAACAAAACCTGCCAAAGAATCAAAAAGAGGCACAACTGGGGGGTAAAAAAAATGTTTGAAAATCAGCTAGCAATGTGGCTCAAAATCAACTATAATCACAATAGTTGCAGTCTACTATATATATATATATATATATATGCGCTGAGAAAGATACAAATAACTTTGTTGAGTGAACTGGTAACTGCAAGGGCAGGAAAGGCAGGGGTTATCCTAGGGCAGGTGGTAATAGCATGATCTGAAATGACAGAAGGGTTAGAGTTTGAATAAGCTGTGACAGAATCTTCTCCCAACGGAGGCCAGAAACTAACACAGCCAACCCATAGTGGACCACCAGGAGCAGTCATGTAGAAGATAAAGGGTGCAGGCGGACAGGCAGGAGGGACGAATGGTCCTGCTGGAGAAGTTGAAAGCAGAGCTGGGACAAAGAGACGGGACAGTTGCTTAGAGCAGGATACCTACTCGCCACTGTGCAGCTATTTTAGCTTGAACCTGATGTCACCTGATGTGAGGATAATGTCTTTATATTCCTCAGTTCTCAGTGTTTTTTGAACCAGAGAGATAAAACACTGATAGTTCAATTCAATTAAGTTTTATTTATACAGCACCAAATCACAACAACAGTTGCCTGAAGGCGCTTTATATTGTAGGGTAGACCCTACAATAACCAGTGTTGGGCAAGTTACTTTGAAAAAGTAATTAATTAGAGTTACTAGTTACTCCTTCAAAAAAATAACTGAGTTACAAGATTCTGAAAGTAATTAATTACTTGAAAAGTAACTATTGCGTTACTTTAAAAAAATGTTTAACCCTCTGGGGTCCAGGGTATAATTGGCCATTTTTAACTACTTTTTGATTTTCCCTCCACATTTCACCTTTAAAAACTATTTACTTTGCCTTGTTTGGTATCATTCTTTTCAGCACAACCTCACGTGTCTGAATTTACAGTTATGTTTTCATGTTGACATACTGTATTAACACAATTGATCTAAAATCAGACAAAAAACATAAAATCCGAGTAGAAAAAGTTATATTTTTTTACTGTAACAACCAAAAAACATGTTTAAAGGAATCATATTTCAGAACTTTAAATGCAAATATAAATTCTCCATTTTAAAATTATATGCACAAGTTTTGCAAACAACAGTTATTTGCAGCCATTTATCTTTTACCCCCTTTTTCTTTTTAATAACCATTCAAACTGTTTACATAACAATCAGCTGTTCTGCATTCAATAAGATGCTGCACAAATTATTTGTGCCACTCCAAATATTTCTGTCCACTATAAAGGAGAACATCACAGCCTGATACCTGCAGGTCTGAGAGCAGCAGGTGTATCACTCCTGTTTCTACCTGGAGACAGCAGTCACCTCATTGTTCTGACACACAACACAGAACTATCCACAACACTACACACTAACTCCACAAGACACATTAACTACACACTCCAAACACGCTAAACGTCACAAATCTCTCACATCTCAAAACTCACTCACTCTTTTTCTGCTCTCTCTCTCTCACTGTGACTCCTAAAACTTCCCCCTCTTCCTAAACAACCAAATCTCATGTTGCCATATCATTTTTTGATTGGTCGACATGGTGCATTTTTCCACCAACACGAAGGGGCTGTTTTCTTTTTTGTTTGTTTTTTTGGTCATAAGCAGAGAGTGCTTACTAGCGCTGTCCTTAGACAGTAAACGTGATGAAACTATTCAGGAAAAACACCGGTATATATTGTTTATCATGACTCTGGTTTTGCGTGGCCTATCAACACAATTTAAAAACTGGTATATATATCACCTTGTATGTCTTTAAGTGGTCATGTGATTGGCTTACCATGACTACTTTATTCTTCCTCAGTCAAACAGCAGCACTCATGCGATCGTTTTGCCCCCTTAGCTCCAGGTGTTGTGCTAGAAAGTGATCGTGATTACAGTCCGTGGGAGCGCGCGCAGCTGCTTAAAGCTGTAGCGCCCAGATTACTTACGTAGTCAGCTACTTCCGTGCAACTGATATAAGATGCGGTAAGCTGAACACAGCTTCAACCGTCTGTTGAAAAATAGTAACGTGACCGCATTTTCTTGTTAGTAACGGTAACGGCGTTGTAACGATAGAAACAGTAATTAGTTAGATAACCCGTTACTGAAAAAAGTAACACCGTTACTCCCATCACTGACAATAACACATACAGGACTGGACAAAAGATAGAGGAGAACGTCAACGACACTGGCAGGAGTTCAGGTATTTGGTGAAGACCATGCACTCCAGGTTCCCGTCAAAAGTCAAAAAAAGGCTACTCTCAGCCAATCTCTGTGCTCCTCCAGAGCAAGCTCCACAGCTGTCAGTTCACAGTTGTTAGCATCTTCTGTTCTTTCTTTACCGGAAAGCTTCCAGCAGAAAATCAAAGGTATATGGATGGACATACAGTGAACGGTCACTCCCAAAGTTTGTTAAAGTCCTGGAAGTGCCAGCTGATGAGCTTCTGTATGTCACCAACAAATATGAGTACAAATGAAACTGTGAACCAACATGAATTGCGAAGTAGGAAAGAATCATGACAGACTCTGGTCAATTTTAATTACGTTTTATTTAGCATCAAAGGTAAAAAGCCTACAATAACACAGAGAAGCAGAGTGATACTGTGTGATAGCATTTGAACATGTCAGACTGTAAGCATAATTTAAACCAAGAGCAGTAGAGGGTCACAAAACCATGTGACCCTCTACTGCTACTGAGCAGTACTCTACTGAGTGACCGACAGGTGCATTTTTAACTACTAGAGAGGGCGTTTTCTTTCTATAGCTTTAGGCAATTTTAGTTCCCTTTGGACTGATATGCGATTTCCTTCTGTTTCAAGTTTTTTTTTATGCCGAGCCCAGTGAGGTATCAGTCCTCTGCTAACTTTCTCAAAATGTCAGATGTTTCCTTTGAACAACATCGCACATTTTAAAGCGATGCTGGGAGATGGTTAGAAGACAAACAGTTTAAACTTCATGTTTTGTGCAACAAGTTGTTAACTGAACAAGGGTATAACAAATAAAACGTGTTATTGTAGATGCTTGATGTTCTCCACGGAGGAAAATCAGGTACAGAAGAAAGTGTGTCTTCACTTAGTTTTAGCACCACATTTACCTAAATTGTGAAATTGTGTCGTTTTGAAGTTACCAACTAGAAACGCATTTTTTGTTATATATGAACATGTTTCAACCTGTATACCCATTTAGAGTTTATTTAGCTAAATGAATATTTATGAAATATTATTGCTTTGCAAGATTCCAGATGTTTAAGATGTTTTATGAATGTTCCTGCTGCTATGTAATTATCTAGACTGCTATTTTTGTGACTCAGATATGTTATTATTGCCATTAAAGTGACTGTCTCAAATGGCGCAATCTCAAGTCTCTCCTTTAAAAGTGCAATTTATTTTTTTAACATAAAACATGACTAAATCTTTTAGAAACCATTCTCAAACTGCAAAAGACTAAAAGATGGACACAGCCACAACTGCATCACCCATCGGTTTGTGCACTACCTTTATAAACCTCATGGCTAGCTTAAGGCCGTCCCTATCTCTCTTTCTGAAACCAGGAAAGGCCATTTGTTGACAGGAAGGTAGAGCACTAAATTATCAGTGAGCAGACTTGGTTAGGAAGGTCACAATTTCTGTCAGACAGCCGCAATAAAAATCCTCCAAATGGCACCAAGACTACACAATCTGGACAAGAAGTACAGTTCAGTTTGTAACTATTTTTTAAAGCCAGTAATTACAATCACTCACTACCAAGTTACTCTTGAACAGTAAGACCCTGCATAAATAAAACACATAAACAGACTCGGCCTGCAGACCATCACCTGAGTGCTGGTGATCCACTCGTTCCTCTAAACGTTTCAACTTTAAATAAACTCTTAAAAAAATAGATTTGTTTACTGTTTACTCTTACTTGTGTCACAGCCTGGCTCAAGGAACTGACAGAGGAGAGGAAGACTTGAACTTTTAACTAAATATTATTTTCATAAAATGCAAGATAACCATAATATGAGGAGAATATGAGGAGAGTAACTCAGTAACATCAGTGGAGTGCATGCATGAGGAAATAGACCAGTGTTAGGTATCATGACAGAGGGCCTAAAATATCGTCTGAATCTAGGTTTATGTTACAGGTTTGTGAACTTGTCCAAAAATGATATATAGTAAATTTAATATATGAGCATAAAATGAATCAGAAGTGACATTTTTCTATAAAGTGAAGCTACAAAACGGGCCAATTTCAGCTTTAAATTATAAACAAAAAGAGCTGTAGGTGTTAATATTTGAGCCCTGTCAGTTTAGATTTTGTTTTTAAAGTAAATTTTTGTGGATTTTTATCTTTTCTCCTGAGACGACAGTGAAGAAAAGACAGAAGAGAGGAGACAGACATGCAGTGAACGGTGTCAGAGCAGAGTCAAACCCAGACCTCTGCATTAGCTTTATGACATATGGGTCACCTGCTGTGCCCAGTGAGCTAAAACAGCCTCTAGAGTGTTGAATTATTAATGAAAACAATTCTTCTCTCATATCAAGAAGTCAAATACCTCCTGACCCATTTTGAAAGTCTTTAAATGAAGTCAAAGGCTTTTTAATCAGCAGATATTGTTAGACACATACAAAGTAAAGCTTGTTCTTTATAAACTGGATATTAAAAGAAGACAATCACAGTGATGTAAACACAATTTAAATGTAAAATACCAGCTGTTGTAAAAACAAAGATTAGAGCACTCTATTTGTACCATAAACCATTACAGTTTATTAAAAAACAAACAAACAAACAAACAATAGATTAAAAACTGTGGCACTGGAATATTATTAGTGATTTAATACTTCATTGCCAATCATTTTAAACGGTATCCCACTTCATGAATCTTCCAAAGAGGCGAGACGTGCAGTTCAGGTACGAAGAGCAGCTCCGTCATCATCGTGTACAAACTTCATCGTTGCACTGCAACAGATGACAAAGATGCATTAAACAATGAGAACAATAAATAATGAGCCTCAGCCATGTATTTAGGAGAAGCAGCAGCTCATAGATAAAGATGCCGCTCACCGATCACCTTTTGTGGATAAAGCTCCATCAATAGGAAGCCTTGTTTGTCTAAACACCGCGTCTTGTTTGCGGTCCCTCAGAGCGATCGCTCAAGTTAGAACACGAGTCATTCTTGTGGGAAATCTAGTTTGAGAGTTCCCAAACCTGGGCACAGATAGAAGAACCTCCAAAGTAAACAGAAAGGTTTGAGGAGAGACATTACTTCTAAACCCATGAGTGGTCTTAGTGGTTTTATCTGGACCAGCCTGTGACCTCTCTCTGTTAACAAAACATTGCCCGGGCCTTTCCAAACCAGACATTAGCTTGTGACTTTTACTCGTTCCTGACACATTTTGACCCCTCAGAGATAACAAGGTCTATTCTGTTGTGGGTTGCAGAGATGACATCGGCTGGTCGTCAGAGATCATGGGGACATGTTGCAATAGTTTCGACACGGTGGATTCTGTGGGAAGCGAGCAATAGCGCTCAGAGGCAAAGTGGTTGAAGAGCATGTGCTGGATGTGACGGGCATGTCGAAAGCCCTGACGATCACAGGACAAACCCTGCAGAACTTAAAGTGTTAGGCCCATGATCTGTGAGCAGTTTGTTTTGTGAATACACTAACATAAACCTAGGCCACATTTTTTTTTTTTGAAATATTATAAATCAAACTGAATTCTTATATCCTATACCAAAACAGCAATCAATGCGGCTCATTCTCTGAAGCAGAGTTTCTCAAAGTATATCAAAGGTTCTCAGAGCTACAGCCATCAGGATGTGGATGACCGGAGGGGGCGGGGGGAATCTAAGTTGAATGAAAATGGTTGTACAGGAGATAAACAACAGTTTGCTGATCTGACCTTTACTTCATTAAAGTTCAGATTTATTGTTGTCAATGACTGATAAAAACTGACAGGTGTGGGGCTTCTTTTTTTTTTTAGTTTGTGAAGAGAGAAGGAAAGAAAAATAAAACACTGCACTGTCTGTCTGAGACCTGTGCAATGCCTGCACTTACAAACTGATAACATATAAACTGCTGTGCTTAACTGATGTTAAAAAGACAGTTTTTTTTGTAGCCTGAATAGGTGAAATGGGATGCATAAGTGTTACCATTTTCATTAAACACAACAAATGCTCTGATTTTGCAAAACTAATTTGTAAGTGTAACAATATGAACACTTAATCCTGAGATTATTCTTTCTTATCAAGAACACAAAGCCAGCGCAACTCACCCTGCAGAGTGAAGCAATACTGAAGCTTTGATGTTTTATGATGTTTTTATTACGACATGCTGATGTCAGCCTGTTATGGCGTCATATATATCACTCGATATGGCTTCTTGAAACTTTTTTAGAGGTCATCCTTGACCTTGGGTGCTGACTGTGAAAGTCAAGGTCAAATGCTTAGCCAACCTAGGTACTCCTGTCATCCAGGTTGAAAGACAATCCAAAAACAAAACACATGTGAGTAATATAAAGTTTTTACTGATTTTGGCCTGACCTTGATCCCATTTTCACCAAAATCAAATCAACTCCTTATTGTTATCTGCCATCACACAAAATGTGAATATGTCTTGAAACCTCTGAATGCTAGACTGCTAACAAACAGACAAACAGAACATATTACATACTCCATAGTGTTACTCTTGTAGATGTTTTTATTATAGACACAGGACCACAATCAGCAGCTGGTTAGCTTATCTAACAAGTGCCTGGCTCTGTGGGAACATAATAAATATCACCTCAGAATAAGATGAGCAAAACCTTTTTTTTAAGTTTGGATACAGCAAGCCATTTCCATTCTTTGTGTTGTATTAAGCTAATTTTAGCCTGGCTGTAGCTTAATATTACAGTCCTGTTTCAATATTCTTGCGATGCCCCCAGCCAGAAAGCATCTCTCAAGAGATTTAAGAGTAAATAGTGTTGTTGGGTCTTGTACGTTAACATAAACTAGTGGTTTTGCAATAGATACTAAATTCCTGTTTGCAGTAAGCAAACAGTTAAAAAGCAGGCACAATCTGTCACTAAAAATGTGTTAAGTGCTGAGACTTTGCATATAAACATAATGATGGTAGTGCAGTAAGCAAACAGGAACTTATGTTATTGTTAAAAAATTCCCTATGCAAGCAGACTACTTAATACTACATAGCCTCCAAAAAAAAATACATCCCATGATTTAAAAGGTTCATGATTACGGAGGAATTTTGATCCTCTCTCTTTGCAACAGTCATTGTTGTAGATTTACTGCTGACTGGAATCATTGGCCCTGTCCTCTTGTTACATTTCTAGGAAAATCCAAGTCAGGTTACGCTGTAATTTACGACGTAGGGTTTCAGAAGGGTTTGAAGTTACTGCTGAAGCATAATTCCCAAGTAAGTGCTCAACTTCAAATTTGAAGTATCTGAAATCTAAGCAGCGCTTCATCACAGTGGTCGTAATCAATGAGGAGAATCACATGGATGCTACAGCGAGCCTCTAGTGAGCCTATTGCCGGTCGTATGGTGGAGGAGAAGCGATGATTATCAGCTCGCTACACAATAAGGTTGAGTCAGGACATTTTATCGAAAACAAATCCTCAGTATAACCATTTTTGAAAAGGCAATAACGCTCTAATAACATATTATGCTCAGTTTTACACTTTAAATCTGCTGTAGTTTTAATATTAAATATCTGTAGTTTCTGTTTTTCATTCACAACATGTTTGCCTGCCACAGGCTGTTTATCATTTGTCTCTCAGTGGTAACCAATTTATGACACTGTCATGACAACACTGACCTTCCAGCTTCTTAAAATCCCACTGTGCACATTAGGTAAGAAAATTCTGAGTCGCCTCTACCAGAGGGTTTAAAAAAAAGAAAAAGGATGTAAACAGGGCAAAATGATTAGGGTGGAAACCACATGAGGTAACAATGACCTCAACAGAAATGGTCACCGCAGCCAGTACTGCCAGTCATTCCCATGTCCTCTTACTAGACATGTCCCATTTCTGCTGTGCTGTACGAGTAATCTACCACACATACACAATGATGATGGTAGTGATCAAGGACTTGCTAAAAAATATGAATTCCTCCATAATATAGTGATAATTTCAATCTGCAGAGCATTTGTGCTTTTCAGCTTGCACTACAGCACCGCTATTATATGGATCTGTAAAATAACTGCTGTGTTTTCAAGTACGGAGATCATCTTCAGTCAAGTTTAAAAGGTTTCGGGGCCTTTGACACAGACACTGACAGACCATGAAGATGCTGTAATAAGTGTGAAATTGTCTGTGAAGAGGATACTCTGATGCATTTGTCTCTACTGACGTAAAACAGACTCTGTTGAAAGAAACTGATGATTAGATCCGTCCAGTGTTTTCACACACACAATGACACCAGTTTGCTCTATCCCATTTAACCCTTTGCTTTACAGCTCAGTTCATAGCATCAATTATAACATGGACATGCATGGTATGCCTTACCACTGGCCTCTGTCCTTCTTTTACTGTGGCTGAGATACCCAGAGCCTTGGTAATCTCCTCCAAAGGCAGGTAGTCTCCTGGTGAATCTTGGATAAAGTGCAGTAGGACCTTTTCTCCACCTTTGCAGTGCAAAAATAAATCACTTAGATACTTTCATCATATAAACAACTTGCTGGCCCTGTTTATTACAATATAATAATGTAACTTTGCTTTGGTTGCCTCACTAGGGATCCTTTTTTAAAAGCAAAATACATGAAAATAAAAAAAATGCTACGGCACACACAGAACAGTATTTCAAACATGTATGTATAGTGCAGTTTGGTTTAACGCAAAGCTTCTGTTTGATAAACTACTTCCAAACACAGAAAAAGGTTAAAATAATATTATAGAAATAGAACTTCACAGGGTTTACTGTGTAGGTGTTGAAGGACTTTTGGTGGAGCCAAGGCTTTAACACTGGGAGACACACCAGACAAAGTGACCCACTACCTACTCTACCAGATACCTTTTTCCATAAGGACAAACTGTTCTACCGCACCGTAAGAAGACTTTGGCACACAAAGAGGGAGAATTAGAGTGACCAACCATTTTATTTGTATTGTAAAATTAATTGAATACTGTCAAAAAAACCTTTTAATATAGTCTTAGTTTTCCTAATGTTGTGCTATAATGTATATACTGTATGTAATGTATTTAGGACTGTGCCTTTTATTTGGTGAGCATATTTGCTTTTATATGTTTAAATATAGCTAATAATCTAACCTTAATATATTCGAACAATTGAAAAATAATCCTATACTTCATGTAAATGAGCAAGAATAGTCAGCAGACCTGTGGAAAACTGGATTTAGAAGTAAATGCTGCTCCTGACTGCGTCACCATAATGTGATGCTGCACTGCCCTCTAGAGGACAGACCATAAAAATGCAACTTAAAATGACAGAACACCTTTTCTGTACTCAGTGCCATACCACAAGGTGAATTATGAGGAAAATCCTCTAATTTGTCATATGTTTTAACTCCTTATCTCCTGAATGGGTACTAGGGGTAACCTCTGAACTGAACTGAGCCATTTCTGTCATACTTCAGGCCTGCTTCCAGAACAAAATACCTGGGTTTTCATCAGAAGTTAGCGCGGGTGATCCCTGCCTATACAGCTTACCATGGATGCCCTTAAAACCTGAAACCTGTGCTAATAGTTGTCAAACCACATCTTTATTGATACAGACTGAGGTAACAAAACTTGTCATTAGGGGTACAGGGGAGGTGGTCATATGTCATCTTTATTTGGTAAAGGTTTAAACAATCAGTGCCTTTCCACTTACTTTTATATAATCTTAAAATGGACCCTTGCACCCCTCCACCCCACTGGTGTCCACCCAGTTTACCTTTGGCCACAATGACCATGCCTCCACTCTGGAGCAGATCTCCTGAGAAGTTTCCCTGGATTCCTTCAGCGCTGGCCTGAAAAAAGCAAAAATTATCAGCTTGAAAAAGCCACCGTGTACCACTGCCCTTTTGTTTTTAATTCATTTTTGAAAGTGACAAATATGTCTACCTTTGCTGCTACATCTCGTACTTTTTTCCCCAATGCTGCAGGAACCACACTTAAAGCGTTGTACCTGAATGAGAAAAGAATACAGTTTTTCCATTACAGAAAATTAAATATTCTTGCATTTGATTTGATTTGATGAATGTTTTCTTGATTCCTGTTATGATCCCAAGATGATGTTTTAAAATGATTGGGTTGGTGAAATTTGTTTACTATAATGAATTAATTGAGTCAAGATCAATACTGTTTAAGTTACTCCTTTTTTTAGTAAGTTTGACAATTTAAAGCAAATCACATCTTGGTCAAAGCACTGGTCTTAGGAGCTTATCCGTTTTAGGTTTGCAAGAGGTAGTGCTGAAAACTACCCCAGCTGTCATAGGGCAAGAAGCACTGTTCACCCTGGGTAACAAATATGAAGACAACAGCTCATGCAGACAATCGCCTGCCGGGGTGCATGGCTAATTTACAACAGCTAGTTAATTTAACACTGATTGTAGTAAAACCCATGCAAAACAAGGAATAGCATGTAAACCCTACACATAAAGGCCCCAGCAGGTTAAAACCCAGAACAGGGTTGTCACTTTAATCCTAAGTGGGCCAGAATGGGTGAAACTCTTCTTTCTGTTAGTGTAAAGAGATTTAACTATACATTTAATTCCCAAGATCTTTTAATGCAAGAAGTGTAATTTAAACATTACATCTCTGTTTTTCTACATGATTAAAAAATGCTTCTTTGGGCTTGAAATGAAAGAAAGAAATGTGTAATACTGCAGAAGAAAATTTTGTTAGCTCATTGCACAGACTGCCCTTTAGTTATAAAATGGAAACATTTTGTTGATTCCTTTTGCTTTTCTTTTTTTTACTGTGAACCCACTATAAAAATCACAAGTTTCTATTAATTATTTATTCGTTTAAGTATTACATATTTACTTTGGTGTTGTCTCTTGGGGGGGGGGGGGTCTTTATCAGTTACAATTCAAAAATTTATGTCCTCAATTTTTCCAAAGATGTTCAGCGGGCCAGATTGGAGTCTTTGTGCCTTGTGTTTGACATCCTTGACCCAGAACCTTCTTGGTGTACTGACATTAGCGCTCTACATTTATTGCACTCACCGTTTGAAGCCCAGATCCTTGTAACATTTCTTTTGTTCATCCACATAAAGGGCTAAAAAAAAGGAAGCTGATTAATGATTATTCACAATCACACAGCAGGAGTGGCTGCTGACAATTTTGAATGCTCTCAGCAGGGAAGTTCTAGTCAGTTACAGAAGGCCTTTTTTTTTTTTAAGATACTCTAGTCTGGTGTAACCTAATTTTTCGACAGCTTTTATAAGAACTTACCAAAAGATAAATTAATATGCACTGCACTGAATGATTAAGGATGCTTACGTCCTTTTAAAAAGCCTCCTTGCTTGAACTCCTGGAGCCCAAATTCTTCTGGTCCGACTCCCACTAGCGCTACCCCGTTGGCCCTCAGGTCTGGCTCCAGTTTGCTGATCTCTGATGCCGTCCACCGACATACCTGACAGCCAAACCTGCGCAGGAAGAAGAGGACCACCGGCTGGTCCTGCCACAGAGACTGGAGCTCTACTTTCTGAAAGACAAGACGAAAGAAACAGCAAAACACACACACACACACACACACACACACACACACACACACACACACACACACAGTAAATATATGAGGAGCTGGCCCTGTGTGTTATATGTGCAAATGAAACGTTATGTCACAAGTGAACATCATCATTATGTCACTCTAGAGGCCTCGTTACTCAGCAGTTGTTTCAGTGCTGGGGAGGGGGGG